GTGTGTGTGTGTGTGTGTGTGTGTGTGTGTGTTTTGGGCTCGAAGCTGAGGAAGTTGGATAGAGGTGGAGGCATGCAGAAAGGACAGGGTCTAAGTTCATTGCATATGATTCTAACTTTTCAGCGTCAGTCTTAATTCTTTTCCATTTTCAAACTAACACAACGACCAATTTGATGTTCTCGTTATAGAAGTATTGAGACCAACATTTGCTTAAATGGATTTGCTACTCTTCCGCCCTTTGTTTATTTCTTCAGAATTCAACTCAACTGCTGTTGAGTCAATTTCGACCCTAGCTACCTTATAGGGACAGGCGAGAACAGCCCCGTTTCCAAGACTAGCTTTCTGAGAGTAGAAAGCCTTGTCTTAAGCATTAGTTGGAGTAAAAGAGCAGATTGGTTTCATTCCTCTGCTGCAATAGATGGAGGAACATGAAATTGGCACACACACGCTTGGCCATTGTGTTACAGATGGAAGCAGACCACCTCATCTTTCTCCAGCACTGGCTGGTAGGGTTTAGACCACCGACTTCCTGTGATTTGGACATTGTGCATCGTCCTCATTGGCCAGTCTGCTGCAGCATGGCAGGGTGAGAGGGGAGGAAAGGAGCGTTGTGCTCCCAGCCCCACCTCCTGTTCTGCCCAAGCCCGCAGCAAGAGCAGCCTGTGCCCCACAGCGCCTCCTCCCACCATTGACCTGCCCATCACACAAAGCCCAAGACCCCACAGCTGGAGCCATGCCCTCGGCCTCCCCTTCCTGGAGCCCACCCGTGGGCCACTGTTGCAACAGTCTGGGTTTGAGGCCTTTGAAACCATTAAGGGTAAATGCTGAACTGTAGATTAGCTACTATCCCCTGTGGGTCCATGGATGTATATGTATGTGGTTGGATGGGCATACATGTGGTCAGTCGTTGCTCGATTACAGGTAATACAAGCCTGTAATCATACCAACTGTGAGTGAAAAATAGCATCAGTTATCAGAAACTATGATTTTTTCCCCCCTTTTGGTCTTAAGTCACTTAAGAATAATAAACAAATGAGTTAATATTTGTCAGGTGGAACAATTGCTATAATGGATTTTACTTTATTTCATACTTACAGGTCTGTAATAAAATTTGTTTTCATTCAAAAATAAAATGTCTAACTTAAAATCTCATGTTGGGAAGGGAAACAATACATATTTTTCTTTTTCTCTAGGTTAGTGGTTCTCAACCTGTGGGTCATGACCCCTTTGGGGGTCAAACGACCCTTTCACAGGGGTCACCCGATTCATAACAGTAGCAAAATTGCAGTTATGAAGTATCAATGAAAATAATGTTATGGTTGGGGGGTCACCACCACATGAGGAACTATATTAAAAGGCCGCGGCATTAGGAAGGTTGAGAACCACTGTTCTCGGTGTGTGTTAAATCTAATTCCTTCTTCAGGTATAATCACACATGTTTGAGGCTGATATGTACAGCTTACATTGTTCTATTGGCTTTTGCAGAAATCTAACTACTTGTTCATACTCGGAATCTCAAAAGGATGTATGCTCATCAGCTGGAGAGAGATTTTTGATCTTGACAACATTTTTTTTTTTTTTTT